CTTTACTGCGTTAATAGTTGTTTGAGAATCGAAAAAATTTTATAAATATTAAACTGGTGTTCCGAAGTGGTTAGCGGCATACTTCCACCAACACCACCTATCCATAGATGGTAGCATCCTAGTAAGCAGGGCCCGACTAACCCTTGGGGTGCTCAAGGAATCCCCCTCTCGGACTCCCCACCGGGGGCGGAAGGTTCGCCGCATCGTCAACGGCATGTCATCGCATAGCTCGAATGAGGTATGGGGCCCTGAGTGGCGGGACCCCCCAACAGCTCCCTTGGTCAGGCGCCCCCTCGGCATACGCAAACCTCCTTCATCTCCATCAGTAGGATGATCCTTCATTGCCAACCTGTTGCCCCTTGGAGGCAAGAGGGGCTCAACTGGCCTCTTTGTGGCTGGCTCCTAGTGCCAGTCAGCCTCGACAAGCCCTTTCCCCTTCTCGGCTCTAGCACCAGCAGGCACCTTCGGCCTTGGGGTCTTCTTCGCTGGTGCCCCTCCCTTTGGCGAGTGTTTCCTTGATAGGCCCTTGCCTGGAGTCTTCTTCAAAGACTTGGCTGCCTGCAACAACATCTCATTGGTGTTCCCCTATATCTCTACAAAAGCACCACAAGGGTATTAATACGATGCAAAAAAAAAACAAGCCAACATTAGGAGTTCCCCTACCGAGGTGGGTGGGACTGAGGCCAAGCCACACCATAGATTCCTCCGACACCAAGGGCTTGGCTCGAATGGTCCCTGACACTCGAATGCAGGTTACCACTTTGGCCTCCTCGTCCTTGTGCTAGGGTGTTATCCTCTCAGAGGCCGACGTCTCTGCGCTTCTAAGGAGACTCCCTTTCCAAGCAAGCCGAGGCCCTCGCTTAGCTCGCCATCCAGCACCTCCTAGCGGTAATATTGCACTCTCTTCGGCCAAAGCCGAAGTCTCCACCTAGCTCTCCATCGGACCTCGTCTTTCACGGCCTCGAGAGTGGGGGGCAAATAATATAGGTGCATGTGGCAAGGCCCAAATCGTGCCACGTGGTAGGGCCAAGAAGCAATCCTAGCCGTCCTCTACTAACTAAGTCCAGCTCACCCTTGGCAAGCTCAAGTATAAATAAGTGGCATCACTCCCTAGGTAAGCTATCATGGCTTCTACAACTCTCCAGCTCCCTAGCTCCTGGGTGATCTCGTCTGAGTACTCTCTGTTAGACAGTTGTATGCCCTTAGCTCCAATCAGAATGATGTACATTATGACATTTATTGTAAATGAATAAAGTATATATTTGATTCATGTTCTTATGGTGTGTTTCTGTGTAATACCCTTAAACTGGACACTTCTGAGATTCATGTTAGTTTAGAATGTTCACAGCCGTTGGATAAGTCTAGGGAGATTTATCCTGCCAAGGCTGAAACTGATGTGCCGCCAAATGTTGGGGTGGCTTGTCTCAGCTGCCAGGGTGAGACCCAAGGTACATGCAGTGTAGGTTTGCTTGAAACCCTGAACCGGACCAGAATTCCAGTATTGCCCTGGACCTTGCAAATAGATGGGCAAAACTGGAATCTTACACCTGGGTTTTTATAAGACCATTGAGGGTAATACTTGATGGGCTAATCTTGCATCTGCCCACAGTCCCTGGGTTTTTATAAGGTGGCTTGGCCCAGGGACCACTTAGTGTAAGTGTTGGGCCCATTAGCAGCCCATGTGATGGGCTCAGGGGGTTCACTGTCCATAACAGTGTATTCAGCCAAGCCTTGTAACAAAGGATGGGCTGAACCCATGTGGCTGATGTGTAGATCAATGCTTGGGTCCCACGCCATACAAAGAAGCCCAACTGGGCAGCAGTTTGGAAGCCTACTGAGCACATAGACTTATTAGGCCTAAAGCCCATTTCGAACTGGTTTAGTTAGACTAATTAAAGAAGGGCGGATATGGGATTTGATCAGTAGATAGGATAGGGTCTTACCCTATCCACTCAGAGAGTCTAGATCCAAATAAGATTTGGATCTGTAAACCTCCTAATGAGATTAGGAGAGAGCTTATCTAATCTGCAGATAAGATAAGGGTCTACCCTTATCACTTAAAGAGAGTCCAGATTCAAATAAGGATTTGAATCAGGAAACTCCTAATGGGATTAGGAGTTGATCTCTTTAAGTCTATAAAAGGAGGAAGGAGCGAACCATTCAGTTCATTCTCAACATCTCAAATCATCCAGCCTCAGAGATCATATCTCAGAACACCCAGAGAGAAGACAGCACCAGTGTGACTGCGCCATCTTCTCCCTATGTTTTCCTCATGTTTCCGCCAACTGCCAGTTCGATCTCCATACAAGAAGGAGCGATCAATAACAGTTCTTGATATCAGCCTTTGGAGAAAGGCTGATCTGAAATCGTACTCACAGCCTCCACCGAATTCTTGTGAAGGGTTCGGTTCTTGGGAAGAACACTGTTGATTCTGCTCCACCCTACACTGTGTCATCTTCAGTGGGAGCAGTCTTTGGAGATTTTCTTTGGGTGTGAAAACCTCCATTGGGAGATACTATTTATTCGTATCAGGTATATCCCTCTCCTACCTCTGGTTTCATATCTGGTTTGATTTAGGGTTCAAGATTGATCCTTGAAAATGCAGATTTTCTAAAACAGGGAATGTGATTCCCAGATGAGGGGAGAGGAAATTTTTGAAATTTCGCCCAACCTTCCTGCAGGGTTCGGCCATCCATATGATGAATCTCTCATTCCTTCACTCTCTCCTTAGGCCTCATCCGACCCCTTTGTTACGTACTTACTAACTTGACCGTCAGAGACTCCACCCTTGGGATAACACCCGGGGCCTCTGACGTGCTTCCTCCTTCTCAGGTCAGACTTACAAACCCTCAATTTCATCAACCTTCGAACACATGAGCTCTTGACTAAGGAAGTAAAAGTACTTTATTGCCCTTGACCCTGGCTGAAACACCATGCACAGGACATTCTAAACTCCTTGCTTTTCTCATCTACCAACAAATGTATAAAGATCCCATTCTTGAGCACACAAAAATCAATGGACCATCTCTTGGACAATTTGTGGCAAAAGTTCACATTGAGTGAGATATTTTAAGTTGTTACTATCCAATTGGCCACTGTTCTTTTTGGAAAGGATATATACATCCTTGAGCTTTATGGTCTGGAATTCAATAATGCAAAATAAGGGGCAGCTCCCAGAGATTGTTTTCACCATTAATTTTCGCTTCCTTAAGGAATCCTATAGACCTATAGTAAGATATCTACTCTTTATTCACTTCATAAGAAATAATCTGGTCTTTGTAGTAGGATAAATTTCCGAGAATATAATTATGAGACAACACAAGACTTTGATTGTTCGTTCTAAAATACTTGTCTATCGTATGTTAGAGGCATCTAAGCCTCAGAATTGTCAAGTATTCATATTAGGGCACTGAGAGACATATGCATACACTGATACATAAATATTTTAAAACATTTAAAACTGGATTTATGAAATCCATCCCTAAAATACTTATAGAATAAAAAATAAAATATCAATCATATCAATACGCACCGATACCCAATTTCAGTTCTTCTCTGTCTGCTTCGTATGAATTAAAAGCCCTGCTTTTTTTTCTGATGCTTTAATCTACTCATGTAAACCAACAGAAACAAAACAATGGATGGCTCGCATAACAGACATGGTGGGTTCCAGTTTCATGGTGAGATGTACCCATACAGATCATCAGCAAATCCCAGCTCACATAATCTAGGAAGAATAAGCCAAACCAAATATATTTAATCACATGGTAGTAGAGGAAAAAATGTGTTCAATAGATTCATCCTCTACTTCATAGAGAGGGCAAAGATTATCAATCGACATATGATGAGCATTCAAAATAGACCTGGTTGGTAGAGCCCCATGTATAGCCAACCACAAAATCACTTTCACTTTAGGAGGCAATGTTTTTGAACCATCATTGACCCGAAAGGTCAGACTATTCGGTCTGGGAACCGTCCGAGCAACTGGTTCTGTTTTATCTCAAATCTGATCCCTAGCAAAAAACCATTAAATTGGTCAACGATCCACTAACCTAAGTGGTCAAACCATCGATCCGTTCAACAGTTTTGGTCATTTTTATTTAAATTATTTTTTAATTTTTTTTTCGTTAGAATGGACCATCCATTTGAATTGAACAGGTTGAACTGTTGACCCAAAAACCAGTGGCCAAAATGGTTATTTCCATATCAGTTTTTAAAACCTTGCTAGGAGGAATTAAATTTGTACTCCAAACTTTAGACCAAGTTAGTGTGCCTTCTATATCCAAATCCAATTGGATTTGAATTTTAGAAGCTTCATTATTCTATTAACCACCACCCAATCTGATTAAGATTTGAGTATATTATGTGCATATTTATATAAATCTATGCATAAGTTAAAATAATCAGCCTTTTTTTTTCATTTTTATTTAGGGTCATTTACTAACACACCTCCTATAGTTTCTAATATTTACTAAGACATCTCCAATAGCTTACCTATTATTAAGACACTCATGCACATTGGCATTGCTTTGCTTATCCTTACTATTTTAGACATAAGTGTAAAATGACAATTTTGACCATACCATCCGTTCAGACAAAAGATAACTTCTGTTTCTCGTATTACTAATTTGGATATTTAAAGTCAATTTTCTCTTAGGAGACCTAAAGTCACTAATGGTTAGAAGACCATAACATATAAGCATGCGAGATGTTCCCGATGTAAAGCCTTTTCTCCTCCAATTAAAGTTTCTATGTTCCCATTGCTTGCCAAGGAGTAGAAGCAGCTATACATCAGACCTGAGTAGCCTTTGCAACAAACAAAATTGGACTGATGATGGAAAGCGTTCGATATTTGAAACGACCTATAGCTCCGTTTGGTTGGAGTATGAATACAAATTTGTAGAGTGCAGAGCATAAATGTTTGGTTCATGTGAGTGCAAAGTGGTTCAAGATTTATACACCCACTTTGCACTCAACTCATTTGTTTTGAAAGATGCAAATAAGAATACAATTTTTGTGGATGTTTGGCATTTCCATCAATGCAAATACAATTGTTTCTCGCTACCAAATGTTGTTCCAGCTACTCCCACCATTAAACAAATATAAAAATTAACAAGCTGCCCGGGCATACAATGGGCATCTTGGCAAAAAATAACAACATAAAAACAACCAGCTACTCCCACCATCAATGCAAATACAACGGTCTCTTCTACCAAGTAAGCCAGTTTCTCTCTCCTCTTCACGCCAACGACAACTATTCTTTTTGAATAGGAACTATGGAGCTTCCAAACGGCATAGAATTAGCAGCCCAATCATCCTATCACAAATGTATCCGCTCTGATCTTTATCAAAATGCTGGAAGGCTTTATATAGATGTTCGTCTCTTTCTAGCTTGTGCCTATGCATGGTTGCAGTAATAACTTCAACATAACTGATTGTTCCATTTCCATCCACATCAGCCTAAAAAAGAAAGAAATGATCAACCCAAGAATTTCAGACATGTAAAATAAAATATTGAAATTCCAGAATGGTGACCGGTTTCCAGTCTGAACAGCTCAACTGCCTATGGTCAATGACGTTTTGAAAACATTGATGATGATCATGATATAATCACAGAATGATCTTGGAAGGAAGTGGCAGAAAGCATAAAAGGAAATACCTTTGATCATCCAATGAAATTCCAAGAGTATCATGCAGTAGAGCCACAATATAAGATGAAGAGAAGCAATACCGCAGCAAATAATCCTCAGAAAGGCTACTGTATTTCTTTTTGAGTGCTGACCAGTCTTCTTCACAAAACTGTTGTCCAGTCAACATCAGATTGGAGAGAAAATGTTGTTTCAGGCAGTCTGTAGAACTGCCAAGCAAAAGCGAAAAAGAAATGGAGGGTTAGAAATCATATAACCAAGTAATAGCACAACACTACTAACAGGAAGAATATATTTTTAGAAGGCATTGAGTCATTGACTATACATGGCCAATAGGGTAATTCTTACAAACATATTTAAACTCCATATATGAAATTTTATTTTTAAACTCCATATGTGAAATTGTTGATAACCTGCCAGAAGGGTGAGGAATCTGTTCAGAAGCCTAATTTAAAGATCAGGTTCCCCCAATTACTAACTCTAGGATGTGTCTTTAGGCCCGAAAGTGTTCTGTTAGACCTACATTCATGACTATAACGTCCAGGGTTTTGTAAATCTTAGAAGGAATTACAAGGGAAAAGACATTTCTAGGTGCTAAGAGAAATGACTTGAACCACCAAATTTAGAGAGAGGGAGGGGGAGGGGGAGAGAGAAGGGGGGATACAAATATCTGGAATTTGAACTGGCTGAATGGATAGAAATTGACAAGGCAACTGGACAGCCATAAACATCTACATCTGCTAATAAAATTTGAGATCCAGGAGTGGGCTACAAAGCATTCTAGATACAAGTATAAAAAAAAACATGATAATTTATTTTCAAAACCAGTGTGTGCAAGAAATCTTTAAATTCTTAATTTATTCATTACGATTATTTAATGGAAGAAGCAATTATAATCCCGGGTACATAAACAAGGTTGATACCTGAGTCTGAGCATCATCTCCTGTGACAATGTTTCCAACTGTTCGAAGAGCAGGTATGAGAACTGTAGGTGATGGATGACTGGTATGAAAAATTAAATAAAAAACACTTATTTAGTAATAGTAATTTAAGTACTTCAGGAATATAAACATAACATAAATAACTGAAGCAAAACCAGCTCTTTGGAGTGGGGTACAAAAATTATCATGCAAGAAGCTAAAACAGTTCTGAAGTATGAACTACATATTTAAAAATACGTAAATAGAATCTTACAGGAGATTCTATTTATGAATATATATTAACACCTTGACTATTAATTCCCTATTGAAAGGCTAATAATTCACAGGTGGATGAGAGAAAGGCTAATAATTCACAGGTGGATGAGAGAAAGGCTAATAATTCCCTATTAAATATAGAAACCAGATTAGGAAAGAAAGAGCCCTGGCCCACAACTTGGCTACCTTATTTAAATTGGGTCGGGAGATTAGCCCAACACAATTACAGACTCTTGCAAGAGGGATGTTTACCAGGTTGAGCTGTATACAGGGCCTGCTCTAGAAGAGTATGAAAAGGATGTAAATGAACTGCTATATGATTGGAGCTAACAATGGACAACTAACAAACTCGAGACTCAATTGTGAAATAGGGTCAAGTGGCAGGCAAAATTCACAGGAATACTCAAAATATTAAACTAGATCCCCCTCTCTCCCTCTCATGTAAAATGAACTGCTATATGATGGGAGCTAACAATGGTTAACTAAGAAACTGGAGACTCAATCCCATGCAAATTGTACAGATCAAGTTGGGCAATAGGGTTGAGTGGCAGAATAAACAAAATGGCAGAAGAAAATCCATTCATTTCAGTAATCTACATTTCTTGCAAAAGACAAATAATTTCAGGAGGGGAGACAAACAAGAAGAAACCAAAGACAGAATGCCTGAATCTTAGAGAATGTATCAATTTCCACTGAAAATTCTTTGAACTCCATTACATGAACAGATTCAAAGCAAAGAGGCTTTGGCTTCAGGGTCTTTTTTTCTTTTTTCAAAGGAGAAGCAAATTTTCATTAATAAAGAAAAGATGAGCAAGGGAGAGGTTCCCTTCTACAAAGACTCCAACGCCACAACCAGAAACTAAAACAGCAAAACAATGACAAAGCAAAGCCATCATTTGAGATAATGTCACTCCAATGATTATAGAAATCAGTGCACTTATGACCCCCTGAGGATGTTTAAGGTACTAGCCCATTTCACCAGCAGCCTTTCCACCTTACCACATAACTTCTCGACTGGTAAGGCTTGACTTTGAAAGGTTCTATCATTTCTCTCTTTCCAAACAGACCAGTAGATCACACCTGGCACCATATTCCACAAAACTTTGCCTTGCTTTGACAGACCCCACAGCACAGACCCGGAAGGTTTTGCATATGGATCTTATGGGTCTATGAATGCAAACATGTATGTGCAATTGTGCATATGTTTGTATGGTTTTTTGAGTGGATCTAATATTTGCATCTGCCACTCATATAGAGAGAGCTTCAACTGTATTGGGTGCCAGGGTTTTGTGAGGCTACTCAATTGCTGCATTTTTACTGATTTAGTAGATTTCTGCTCCCCCCTTGCCTGTGAACATCAAAGGCCAAACCACATATATTTGTGTATTGGGTTTTTGTTCTCTTTTCAGTATCTCTATGTGCTTTGTTTTGTGCCATTCGAACTTGTTTGATTGTGTGTGTGTGTAACAATTTGTATCCAGTGCACCCCTCCAACTCCCAAGACCCAAATAGCTGGGACCAACATTGGATGATGGATGACAGTAATCTAACCCACACCCCATATAAGTACACAAATAGTTTAGAAAACTCTGGGTTTACAAACTTATTATGGCTGTCCTCTTCATTTTCTTACTTTCCAAGCTGTAATTTACTGTTTGCTATAGCTTCTTGATGGGTGCTAAAATATTATTGAACACTCTCCTTAGGAGTTTTCATCATCAAGCTAGCAAGTAATCAGATCATATTCATACCTTTAACTTATCTATTATTTTCTTCTAGAAAGTTAATCTAGAGAACGCTACCATGGACCAATTAAAACATACTGACAAAAAAATTGACCATTAAAGACAATAAAAATCAAATCCATAACACCCACCCTCAAAAACCATCATCCTCTTTAAGTTGTTTTAATATATTTGCACTATTTTGCTAGTTTCACCAATTTTCCCATTAAAATTTCATCACTTCTGGCATTTGCAATAAAACAGACAAAATAGCAGTTATCCAATCATGAAAATTTTGGTCCATCAAAAATACAGGCCATTAACTAATGGGAATCTTAGCTATTTGGGATCTTGGGGATTGGTTGGGTGGGGGGACTGGTACAGGGCTGTCAATGATCTCTGAAAGTCCAATTGCCCAACCCAAATTCCAATCTACGTATTTCAGATTCAGATGATCCATTTGCATGATTGGATCAGAAGCGGATCTGATCCAAGTCGGTTAAATTTTATAAAAATTAATACACATACATATATATTATTGATAATATATAATTATTTAAAGTCAGTAATTATTTTTTTATAATTTAATTCTTCTTCATTTCAAAATTGATGAAACAACTTCAGATTAGATCCAAAAATTCAATAGGATCCAAGACCCCGCTAAATCTGATCAGATTACAGATTGGGTTTGGATGTGTTTATAAATCAGGCCAGATTCATAAGTGCTAGAACCATCCCAATTACAGTCAAATTCGTACCTAACCTCAGGTATTTAGCATGAACTGTTCTCAAAATCAACCCAGTATTCTGATACTTCCTAGCCCATGATTTTACCCTCACACTAAGCAATAACCCATACAAGGTCACTGTATATCTCCTGTCCATGTCACAAAGTTATAATGCAGTTCACCCAATAATGTCAACTCAATGCAAAATGGGAAATATCCATTTGCCTTAGAAGCACTATTACTGTTTCCTCCCGTAACCAGCATATTGAAAAAGGCTGCATAATAAAAAACAACAAGAAACAACTAGCAAATAGGAAAGAATAATCTTGTAGACAGATAAGAACAGTCAATTTATCTTTAATACTATCAGTTATCTTTTCTCAAAAAAAAAAAAAAGAACAGTCGAGTTCTCAATTGAATGTCTTACATGTAGGCTTTGCTTTTTTCTTTGTATCAGGGGCAACATTCAGCTTCTTTATAAGACCAAAAACTTCTCTTGAACTCTCATCCTCTGATGGGGACAAGAATGAGCCCTGATCTTTCCGTTGCATGTGATAAAGTGCAAGAACTCTTCCAAATCAAAATTAAAAATGAAACTAAGAGAGAAAGTTATAAAGAAAATAAAAGAAACAGAGGGTATATTTAAAGCATATGCATTAGTGGAAACATATGACAAAGAAAAATAAACTAACGAGTTAATAACCAAATCTCTGTGGAATCTAAGGGAGAACTCACATTTTTCTCAAGTAAGCGCTGTCTAACTAGCATGACAGAACACATTACTCGCATTAACAACAAATCGACATGATCTATCCCTCCATCAAGCGGGACTCAAAAGATCGAAAAGAAAGAAACGAAGAAAACCTAGAATTTGATACATTTTTCCTCAAAAGAGACTTGCGACGATATCGGGATTCAAGGATGTGCGGAGAGGTAATATCCATGAAGTCAAATTAATAGAACATGATGAAAACGGAGTCGGAGAAGTACGGACAGCAGAATTTTACACAGTTCTATAAACATTCAAATTTTCAAAAACCCACACATTATGCACTTATATTTCAAAAACCTACACATTATGCACTTACACCTGTTCGTGATTTGGCATCAATTTTGAGTTGACACCTACCGAACTGTACTTTGGGCCTGTGAAATCTGACCCTGGTCTGAATGATCATTCTTCCCAAGAAGTATTCCCTAGGAATTAACCCAACGCTTGTAAATAGTAAGATTTGTAAAACAATAAACAAACACCCTCAAAAGGAAAAATTAATATTTGTCTTTGCGATGCATTTGTTTCAAGTGTAAATTCAAATTTACATCGATGGAAATTTTGATCCTAATTTAGTAGTCGATGGAAAATTGAATCAGGGTGTTTTGGAAATTTTGTCTCATGTTGTTTGGTTGTTTCGATGTAAAAGTGAAACTACGTTCTGAAACTCTGAAACCCTGCTCTACTCTAAAACTCAGTGCGAGCATAGTAGCACAGACAAGCTTGGAATGGATGTTCTCAAGCTTGGGGAAGGAGATAATAGTAGGGTAAGTGGTTGCTCTTGGAACCCTACAACTGTAGAAGAGGAGATGGTGAAGGGAATGTTGCTGCGCTGCAAGAGCATAACAAGCTTCTCTTAGAGAATCTCCTTAAATCCTTAGATGGGTATTGATTCTTGACGAAGAAGCTGAAAGAATCACAGGATGAGAATACAAATATGTAAGGAAGGATGGCAGAGATGGGGCTGGCAGTTTCGGCCAGCCTCAAGAGGATTCGGTATTTCCGACAGCGAGTCGCAGAATGCAATGAGCACCAGAGACGAATTGAGGAGGAGCTGGCAGAGTCGAAAAATATTTTCCAACGATTAGAGATGAAGGTTTGCAGGTGAGGCAGTTCGGTCTGTTAAATAAATAAACCCAAAGACTAGAGCCGACCTTAGTGTAGGAAACCCAAACCCTTTGCCTTAGGCTCGATTTGGAAGGAGATCTACTCTAAAACTCTATGGAGCCAACATCAAGCCCGCGGACCTCTTTCTCCATTGACTTCATCGACGACAATGATTTCATCTCCATAAGCTCGTGCTCTGAGTCGCCAAAGAAGCTTGACATAGAACGGGAAAAGATGTCGGTAAGCAATGTAGATTTTGAGTTTCTCTCTGCTAACTCCATTGGTGATCGGATGTTAACGGACGACGGGCTCTTCTTTGGACGGAAACCATTGGATGGAGGAGGTCTTCACGATCAGAGGAGATGAGGTCTTCTCACCCTCTCTTCGACTCTTTGTATAAAGATCAATGGATGGAGAGAATCAATGTAAACTTTTCATTGATTTTCAATGTAAATATYGGCGAGAATGGACTTTTACATCGATTCATGAGGCAATATTACCAAACACCTGTAATAAAATCGAACTGGGTATAAAGTTTACCCCGGTTCGATTTTCCACCTCAAACAAACGTGACCTTGAGAAAAAACTCAAAATGAATTCAAAGAGAACAAGAAATACGTTCAAGATTGACAAATTTTCAGGTGTGGTGTGAATGTTGAAAATCTCAAAAGGGACCAAGAGATCCGTCCCTTGCAACAAGAAATGAAAAGAGCTCAATATTGAATGATAACTTCAACCCTTTTCCAGCCAAACCTCAAGAAATGAAAATACTACAGTGATGGCAAAAGATAAGATGAGGAAGCCCAATCCAAATTTAATCAATAAATGAAGTTAGAGATGGCCAAACTCATCATAACGCTGAATAGGACTTGGGTTTATCATTTCGATTAGAGAAAATGTTGGTGTTTTAAATATCTCTTCCAAAGCTTCTCTTCTTTCTATCTCTCATTACATGCAGATCGCATTTTTATAATTGCTTTGTGTAAGATAGCCTTGTTCCTGTTCTAATGAATATGGTTCTTTTTTTTACCATGCAAGTATTATAATCTTCTAGTTTTTGTTCTTGAGTTTGTTTCGTTCACGAGTTCAAGTGTTCTATTGGAAATTTTATTTGTTTCTTTGTATTCTCCATTTTGGTTTTGGGTAGATATGGAAACCAATTGATATGAGCTGTGAAAAAATGTGGCGACTTAAGACTTGTTAGGGGCATTTTTGGAATTAAAATGTATTTTAAGAGGTCACATGACAATTGTTAAACGAAAATTTAAGCGGTCATTGACAGAAGGTGATTTAAGTAAACAGGTGAAACTATAAGGTGTGTCTTAGCAAATGACCATTTGATTTATTTTAAAGATGAAAACAGACTCGGATTAACCCAAATCCGATCCCAGTCCAATGGGATCCAAATCAGAGCTAAGACACATGTATTCAATCGAATTGGATTCAAGGTTTTCAATACTTGGATTGGATTTGCATCAAATCCAAACCTTATTATAGTTAGGGGTGTAAACAGTATTCAAAAATCCGAATTCGAATTAAACATAATTAAATCAAATCAAATAAAGTAGATTCAATTCGTTAAATATTCAATCAACCAATTATAAATGCAGTTTAAATATAAATTATATATAATATATGTGATATCAAGAAAAAATTGTCAACTATCAGCCTTTAGCTTTTTGGAGAAGAGAGGGATTTCTCTCAATACTCACTCCATTTTCCCTCTGTCAATGATCCCTCCCCGTTTCTTCTTTTAGGTCTGTACACTTTGAATACCTACCCTTCTATATTTGGGATGGAGGGGAGGGGTTGTCACTGCACATAACATTACCGGCTGCTGCTATTTTTTCCCTGGTGTGTTTTCTCATATTCTCAGGTGAAGTGAAATCATCAATGGTCATGAAAATTCCGATCTTCAATGTCAGTTGGAGCTGCTATATTCAATGAAAAGAGGATCCTCTGTCCTAGTTTGTCATATTGGTTCTTGTCAAACGCACTTCATCTCCCTATTAATCTCAACATTGTCGTCCTTCCTGGGTGACACCACAAGTTGAGATAGCGAGGACTAAGTTTTCTCTTAACATTTGCAGGCTCCAAAGCTTTACACTAAAGAAGCATACAAATTTTGTTTAACAAAAGAAGCAAAGAGTATATCGACAAAGACACATAAGGTAAGTTTTATTCTAGTTTGAAACTTTGAATCCCACACCCTAGTCATTATTTGTCGAATTTGAATTGAATTCAGATATTTGATGGTTTAAACTAATTCAAATTCATTTTGTCGATTTTGAACTCCATCACATATCGAATCGGATTCAAGTAGCCATTGTATTTAATCAGAATCGAATTCAAATATGGCCACATCCTTTTCGAATTTGCTCCATTTAAACCCTAATTATAGCCCTACCATGTACGAGTTGCACCTCAACCATCAATAATAGGATGGTCCAGGACCGAATCTACCATTATCTCCATACCAGTCTTGGCTAATCTACAAAAGGGGACTCAAATATTTATTGTTTTCTATACAAGGAGTTAAGTCTAGCAAATTTCCCCCAAGCAAACAGATTCTACAACAAACTGATCTAAAAGAAAAGATTGCTTAAAACTTTAGGATCTGCCTTGTTCAAGAACCAAAATCCAACCGGTCATTTTGATTCGAGCCACTTGGTTGAATGGAATTTCGATTCTCATTCCAGCCCCCTAGGAATGAGAATCTCATTTTCCAACTCACCACAAAAAAGGGCAAGTGACCATAAGCCCCAAGAACGTTTCAGTTACTTTTTTTTTATGATAGGTATAGATTGTCCCAGCTTTCTTGTGAATAGAAAAGTTGAGAATGATAGATTAAATGCAAATGCCCCCCGTATCTGATACATTGCAAGTATGCACGCCTTTGCACGTGGCATTTTTTATGATGATTTCAAGATTTCCTATAATTTTTTTTATATTTTTATATTTATAAAAATTATTCTTATGTTTCACACTTATTTTTATTTAATATGATAATAGAGATGTGCCCTAATGTTTTCTACAATTTTTATTTTATACTTTTGTATTTTTATTTTTTAATCTTTATTATTAAACTATGACATCAATAATCGACACATTTTAACCCAAAAAAGTTTTTTGATAAACTAGCACCAAGGTTGAATTGTTGACTCGCCACCAAATAGGAAAACAATCCCATTTTTTGTTGGTTTTAAATTTTTATTTTATTTCTAGGGCTTTTTGCAAAAATATTAACAAAGTTTATCAAATAAACAAATTCGGTCATATTAAGAAAATAATGTCTAAATAGATGAATGGAGAACGAAGTAAGTTTGTTGGACAAGATTTCCCCTTAACATACAAGTCATCCGTTCGAACCTCAACCTTAGCCCTTCCCTCTACCACACAATTCAATAAGAAAATACAAAAAAAAAAAGAGAAAAAACCCTTTAATCCTTCCACCACACAATTAATTCAAGAGAGAGAGAGAGAGAGAGAGAGTATGCGAGTAGCACCTCACAACACGTTAAGAAAACAAAGAGAACCCTCAACCTTTCTTCCTCTCCACTACAATGCATTAAGAACAGAGATGGAACCCTGAGCACTTATTTTGCCACAGTGTAGTAGAGAGAGAGCGAGATTTTAAAATGAATAATGGATCCATGATAGAGATGATTGGTATGACTTACGAGGAATAACAATAGACAACGCAGTTTTATAATCAAGATACAAGACAACAAAATAATTGAAATAGAACATACCCACTTGAAAAATCTAGGAAATACATAAACCAATTTAGAAAATTCATAACAAAAATAAAACTTGGTTCCTATGGACATTCCATTTAGCAAACAATATTAAAACAAATATTGCCTTTTGGGTATAGGTCGAATTCGTTCACCGTTGAATTCTTCTCTATTTTTCCATATAATTGAAGAAAAGGGAAAGACTGCAATTTGATTGGCATTTAGGGGAGATGAGTTTACAGCCTAGAGAGATTGAGCGGAGCTCTGGTTTCAATGTATTCAAGGTATTTTCAAAGTTACTTGTTATATTTTTTTTGGACAATTTTGTCCAAAAGAAAGAATTCGGCTTCAGTCAGGGCAAAGCCCATTCGAGCAGCTTTTACTGCCTTGCATTGAGAATATCTCCGTACTTGTATGCTTTATTTCATGAAGAGATATTCCCAATGCAAGGTTGTAAAAAGCTGTCAGAATGGTGTGGGCACAGATTTGCCCTGATAGAAGCCGATCTCCAAAAGAAATTCGTTTCCTCCCCAATCACTAATTTGGCTATTACTTTATAAACATCACTGGTTTTGCCATTTTAACAAACTTTGTTATTTTTTCTATAAAAATTATGTATTTCTATTATCAATAAAAGTAATTATTCTTTGTCACACTTGTTTTTCTTTAATATGGGTAATTAATATAGGATTCAATGAAAGGAGAGCTAATACCCTAAATATAAGATTTAATGAATGCCAGTGGAATGAAGAGAAATGCATTAGTTCAAATTACATTTTGTGCCTCCACAATTAGAGAGGGACCAAATTTAAAAATAGTGGTATTTTAGTCAATAATAGAATTCAATGAATGTTAATATGAGTTAATACTATAAATATAAGACGTAATGAGAGGGATTTGAATGAAGAGAAAAGTGGTTGTTCAAATTACATTTCTATCCTTACAGTTAGAGAGGGACCAATTCAGAAATTGGGGTATTTTAGTCAAACAAAAGTTTCACTCCAGTTCACACTTTTAATAGTAGTATAGATTAAATTGGAATAGGTAAGTAACCAAAAGTTCTTGTTAATTAATTTTTTAAATTTATAATCATTTCTAATCTTTTATGAAAAATAACTAATATGAAATTATAGATTCAAGAACCCAGGAAATAGCATTGGATAAACATCTAGCCACATTAAATATAAAATAAAAACCTCATTTAGATTAATGAAAGACCCTAACTAAATAATGGTAATGCATAAAAAGTTGAAAGGACTTAAAAAATATATGAGAAAGATGAGCAAAACTTTGGAACATCTTAGAATTAGAAACCATCCTAGTAAACAAAATTAGAATAATTCATGAAAAAGAAGCAAGAGGTCATTAGGGGCAATGGTTTAATGATTGTAAAGAGTCAAAATTTACTAGGGAAGTGAGTTCTGCTATGCACTAATTGTTTCCATTAAAAAATTAAAATCCAAGGAAAGATTGTTCAATATAACAGTCCTGCCTATGTATCTTAGTCTGCACAATGGCTACGCTTGTCATTAACATTACAGGAACATGCCTACATAAAATGTCAGGAACTCCAATTACATCTAGGTGAAGATATTATTAGTAAACTACATAGATAGGAAAAGTTGTCAACAGCCCAAAAGACAAATATTCAAGTAAACATTGTGGATTCCTCCTGAAGAAAATGGTATTTTTAAGTATCCATTGAAAGATTGGTGGAAATAAATGCCAATTGTTATCACATCAATGAATGCTAATTAAGGACTTGCACTTAAGCTAATTAATATAGGGCAATCCCAAAAAGCTATAAATAGCATCTATACTATCCATACATGATATAGAGAGTGATTCATTCAATATTTAAAACAACCAAACCTGAAGTAAAACCAAAGGTAAAAGATGAAGACAAGATAACGATTTAGGTCTAACCTGCTGTTTGGCCTAGCTATGTTTTTTCCCAGCAGATCGGAGACAAAATAAAACTTTGACTGAAGAGTACTTGAGAAAATTGTAGGTTTCCTCATCATGAGTTTGCATCAGCCCTCCCTACATTTTAAAATTTTATGAGGCAAAAAGAAAAACTAACAATGCCAATAGCAATAGAAACCAAAATGAGAAGCATTGGCACATTTAAGGATAACAAGGATATCTTATCTGCAGCCAAGGGAAATACAAGGATCGTGACTGAGGAATAAAAGAAAAAGAAAAATAGCAGAAAACATACATATAGGAAGAAAAATAGCACACAGAAAAGTCAATATCCAATGTTAGTCCTAGCCATCTGAAGTCTTGGGAGGGGTGTATTGGATACAGATCTAACCTTTCCTTTCCCTTTTCTTTTTGCACAAAGTGACCCTCTCCACTATCCTAGCAGGTATAGGGGGGAAGTGTTAGAAATGCAAATGGTGTAATAAAAGCATTCTACTCACGCCCTATTGGTATTGAAGACTCTGTCAAAGATGAAGTTTGGGCACTACTACAAGGGCTGAGGTTAGAAAAGCAATTGAGGTTTCAGCAAATGGAAGCGGAAGGGGACTCAAACTTGGCTAAGTACTGAGACACCAAGAGCTTGGAGTAGTTACAGGTAGACTTTAAGGAAAATTGACACTGGTGTTTTAAAAGCGCCAAGTGCAAAAAAAAGCGTAGGGGGCCAATTTGCACCTGAGATGCAAGGCACAAAATTACAAAAAAAAAAAAGAAAAGCTAAAAAATCAATAACAATGACAGCAAAATTCAAAAAAAAAAGCCAAAAATTAAAAAAATGCAAAAAATTCAAAAAATTATATTAAGCATAATATTAATAAAAAATATAAACTTAAATTTTAAAATAAATATTTTAGAAAACCTATTATCTAGAATTAAAATACATAAACCTAACATGTAAAGCGTGTTCAAATAAAAATTAAAAAAAAAAATCAAACATATAAAACATTTTCAAGCATGTAAAACCCACAATCTCTTTTTTTCCTCAATTGCATTACTTCAAATAGCTAATGTGATGTAAAACATATTACATTCCTAATTCTACAAGCCGCCTTTGTGCCACACCCCTCAAGGAAAGATCAAACAAGTCCATGTTAGGGTCTTAAATTCGTAATTCTCATAACAGTGATTTTATAACTTTAATTGCCTTTTAAGAAGATATTTTATTAAAATGAATGAATGAACAGCATTAGCAAATACAGGGTTCTCGGAGCATCGGTGTGCTTCGCATGTGCTCCCAGGCACGCCACGCCTTTTAAATTACTAATTGACGCAATTGCAAAAGAAGTGAAAACCACGTTTGGATGCATTAGAAGAACAACAAATGGACTAGCAGATTGCTTGGCTAAGCAAGGGGTAAATAGAAAACATCTGTTTTGGGCTAAATTGTAAAAAGGAATTGTAATTCTAAAAAGGGTGGCTGGGGATCTTCCTTGCCTGCTGTACTATACTTTTTTAATTAATGAATGAATTTAGAATTGCTGATCAAAAAAATTAAAAAAAAAAAAAAACCCTTGGCTGAAAGCCTCCACTGCCAGTCTCCTTGTCCTCTCCCTTCAGCCCCTCACAATCCAGCCTAATACTTTTATACTTTCTCACTACCCCCTCCCTACACTCACCCAAACCCTCTCACCAATGAGACCTATTCTCCTCCCCTCGGAGTCCTCTTCCTAATCTTCACCCCTTTCACCCAATGACTTCTTCCTAAGTTTCTCCTCCTTTCTTCTCTTATCTAGTTGCTCATGCTCTCCTTGCGAAGTCCTCACCACCCACATAAAATAAGCAGAGAGACTTGGACACCTCCACCTATTTGCCAACAATTGTGTTAAGCTCAATGTAACCTGTAGTTTCGACTCCCCCCACACTTCCTACCAACTCCACTTTTTTTTCATCAATCTACCAACTCTACTTCTTTCCCCTCTCTTCCACTCCACACTCTTCTTCCCCTTCCTCTGTCCCAGCAGTGTTATCACCAGCCCCTACAGCTTGGTTTACCTCCTCTTTCTATTATATATTCTAGCAACTCGGTCACCCCTGGCAAGCTCACTTACAAACTTTCTCTTCGCTCAAACCTCCGTTCTCTTGCCTCCCACTTCTCTATTTTCTTCACCACTAGCTTCCTCAGATGCCACCTCATTCCCTAATCCCGGAGTTACATAGTACATATCTCCTTTGTGGTCACTCCCTCTTCACCACCACCTACACAATCATTCACCCCCACCTGTGTCAATCTGTGCACCTTTTCTCAGCTCAACCTCTATCCTCACTTCCATCCAATTTAAGCTTCCATCAACCAACCCGGTTGCATCAACTTCATTAATCGATGCATGGATAGCAACTGATTTGGGGTCACTATTCAAGTTGAAGAGATCCAACGAATGATTCTCTATTCTGGTCTCTTTTGATTTAACACTCTCCCTGTTCTATCTTCCTTCTCACATATTTTGTTGCAAGAAATGATTAGTACTTGCAGAAGCAACAGAATCCTTCAGCCCAGCCTCCGTTCCTTAACTCTCATATCTAGTTGTCACCCAAATCCAGTCTCCCTTCTCTTGAAACTTCTGAAAGACTCATATTTTCCTCTTCAAAACCTTTTTGTCTTTGGATTGCTTTCTTTCTTACCACCAAAACCTTTTCCCCTCCCTTCTTCATATGGGATGAATGATGCAAAAGTCCAATGGAGATTCAAATAACCAGTACACAGCATCATTGTCATATTTGATAAGGGTCTCAAGGCAGGTAAGTTGCCTGATGAAAACAAGAAAGGTCAAGTCTCGGTTTTGGTTCCTTTGGTTGTTAAGAGGGATATGATTCCTTCAGTCAACCCAAGCAGGCATGGGGTTAACACAGTTTTATTGGTTCCAAATAGTTTGTTGGAGAGGCTAATGATAGAATATTATGTTAAGTAGTTGAAATTCATTAACATATTTCATCATTGCTATCCGGTGACACAAGAGAGAATATAAGTTCAATTATAACTATCTAGGATTGAGTATTGGATTGCATTACAAGATTATTGAATACAAGTTGGAAAAGATCACAATGGAAAGCAAATTAACTTGGAAGGTGAGGTTCAGCATTGCCTTTGAATTATGCAAGGAAAATAGAAAAAAGAATGAGAGACTTCTTGTGACTAGGTTGGAAAGGATTCATCAAAATACCACCTGGTGAACTGGGAAGAGATATGCAAACCTCTTTCCCATGGAGGTTTGGGAATTAGAAAGGTGAAATTGTTCAATCTAGCATTGTTGGAAAGGTGGTTTTGGAGGTTTTCTTCAGAATTGAATGAGTTATGGAGGACAATAAAAGCTGAAAAATATGGCTTTAATGCTAATGGATGGGATGCTGCTGTCTCATCTTCTCATATGGTTGTGGAGTTTGGGAAGGCATTTACAAAGCTTATCCCCACTTAATAAAAGAATTAAAATATAAACCTAGCAATGGAAGCAGGTTGCAGTTTTGGCTGGACCCTTGGTGTGGGAACACTATTCTAATAGAAGGCTTCCCTTTCTTGTTCAATACAGTTGAGAATAAACAGGCTTTGGTGTGGGAGCACATTTGATCCCCTGTTTTCAGGAGAAAAATCAATGACTAGGAGTTGGAGCAGGTGATAGAATGTTAGGTACTGCCTAACTCAGGGACTCTTTCGAGGGAGCCTGCCTCCTGAATGAGAGAGAGAGAGAGAGAGAGAAAGAAAGAGAGATTGTATTCCCCAAATCCATAATCCCCTCCTAACCTCCTTTCCTTATTTATATACTGCTGAGACACAAATAAAGGGAATACAAGTGTACAAGAAAAGGCCACGTCAGCCTTTAAAGAATGTAACTAACAGCCAACCACTAGAACAAACTAAATAAGAAACTAAACAAGTGGGGAGGCTGGTATAACAGAATTGTAACAGCAGTATATAAATAAGGAAAGGAGGTTAGGAGGGGATTATGGATTTGGGGAATACAATCTCTCTCTCTCTCTCTCTCTCTCTCTCTCTCTTGCTCTCTCATTCAGGAGGCAGGCTCCCTCGAAAGAGTCCTTGAGTTAGGCAGTACCTAACAAGTTGGTATCAGAGCCAAGATGCCAAGCACAAGGTCATCAGCAATGGAGAACAGAGTCGACAACATGGAAGGAGAAATGCAAAGGATATCAGCTGATGTCAAAGAAATCAAAGAAAGCTTTGCATCCTTGCTGGAACGACTAGCACAGGCACCACCTGCACAGCAGCTAATGGAACACGATCAGGTCCTTGTGTGTTGTGATAATCGAAGTATTTTTCTGTTCGCAAAAGCCAGGAAGTAGGATCTCCCCCTGCGAAGATGGGAAACTCAATTCTTGTTGTTCTTGATCCACTTCGATGACAAGTGTCACTGCACTCTTCCTGATTTGGCGCAGGTGGTGCCTGTGCCAGTCGTTCTAGCAAGGATGCAAAGCTTTCTTTGATTTCTTTGACATCAGCTGATATTCTTTGCATTTCTCCTTCCATGTTGTCGACTCTGTTCTCCATTGCTGATGACCTTGTGCTTGGCATCTTGGCTCTAATACCAACTTGTTAGGTACTGCCTAACTCAGGGACTCTTTCGAGGGAGCCTGCCTCTTGAATGAGAGAGAGAGAGAGAGAGATAGAAAGAAAGAGAGATTGTATTCCCCAAATCCATAATCCCCTCCTAACCTCCTTTCCTTATTTATATACTATTGTTACAATTCTGTTATACTAGCCTCCCCACTTGTCCAGTCACTTGTCTAGTTTGTTATTTAGTTTGTTCTAGTGGTTGGTTGTTAGTTACATTCTTTAAAGGCTGACGTGGCCTTTTCTTGTACACTTGTATTCCCTTTATTTGTGTCTCAACAGTCCCTCCTCCCTTGAAAGCG